GGGAAGAATTCGAGGAAGAATTCCGGGAAGAATTCAGGGAAGAATTCTGGGAAGAATTCTGGGAAAAATTCCAGGAAAAATTCTGGGAAGAATTCCAGGAAAAATTCCAGGAAAAATTCTGGGAAGAATTCGAGGAAGAATTCCGGGAAAAATTCAGGGAAGAATTCTGGGAAGAATTCTGGGAAAAATTCCAGGAAAAATTCTGGGAAGAATTCCGGGAAGAATTCCAGAAAGAATTCGGGGAAGAATTCCTGGAGGAATTCCGGGAAGAATTCTGGGAACAATTCCGGGAAAAATTCTGGGAAGAATTACGGGAAGAATTCGGGGAAGAATTCTGGGAAGAATTCTGGGAAGAATTCCTGGAGGAATTCCAGGAAGAATTCCGGGAAGAATTCCGGGAAAAATTCTGGGAAGAATTCCAGGAAAAATTCCAGGAAAAATTCTGGGAAGAATTACGGGAAGAATTCGGGGAAGAATTTGAGGAAGAATTCTGGGAAGAATTCCAGGAAGAATTCCTGGAGGAATTCTGGGAAGAAATCTGGGAAGAATTCCTGGAGGAAGAATTCCGGGAAGAATTCCGGGAAGAATTCCAGGGAGGATTCCAGGAAGAAATCCGGGATGAATTCCAGGATGGATTCCAGGAAGAATTCCCGGAGGAATTCCGGGAATTCCGGCACCTGTGTGGGCAGAATCCCGTGGCCGATCCCGGTGTTGTGGGTCCCGGTTCCGATGACTCCGGCCGCCGTCACCTCGGCCACGGCTCCTAAACTGGGAATAACAAAAAAAAAAACGGGAATGGGAATTCCCCAGGATCCCGAATTTCCGGCTTTTCCAACAGGGAAATATCCATGGAAAAATCCGTCCCGAGGAATTCCTTGGGATGGGGGTGGGGATGGAATCCTGGGGGGGGGATTCCAGGGAATTCTGGGATTGGTTGGGTTGGGAAAAGCCTTTGGAAAAGTTGGAATTCTGGGAGAATCCCATGGAATTCTGGGATTGTCTGGGTTGGGAAAAGCCTTTGGAAAAATTGGAACAATTCCATGGAATTCTGGGATTGGTTGGATTGGGAAAAAGCTTGGAAAAATCTGGAAGAATTCCTTGGAATTCTGGGATTGTCTGGGTTGGGAAAAAGCTTGGGAAAAGTTGGAATCCTGGGGGGGATTCCAGGGAGTTCTGGGATTGTCGGGGTTGGGAAAAAGCTTGGGAAAAATTGGAACAATCCCGTGGAATTCTGGGATTGTGTGGGAAGCTTGGGAAAAATTGGATCCCTGAGGGGATTCCATGGAATTCTGGGATTGGTTGGGCTGGGAAAAGCAGGGAATTCCTTGGGATGGGAATGGGAATTCCTGGGGAATGGGAATGGAATCCTGGGGTGGATTCCATGGAATTCTGGGATTGTCTGGGTTGGGAAAAAACTAGAACCTTGGGGGGGGATTCCATTCCCGGTCCCACCCGGATCCATTCCTGATCCCACCCGGATCCATTCCTGATCCCACCCGGATCCAGTCCTGATCCCACCCGGATCCATTCCCGATCCCATCCGATCCATTCCTGATCCCACCCGGATCCATTCCCGATCCCATCTGATCCATCCCCATTCCTGATCCCACCCGGATCCATTCCTGATCCCATCTGATCCATTCCTGATCCCATCTGATCCATTCCCGATCCCATCCGATCCATTCCTGATCCCACCCGGATCCATTCCTGATCCCATCTGATCCATTCCTGATCCCACCCGGATCCATTCCCAATCCCATCCGATCCATTCCTGATCCCACCCGGATCCATTCCCAATCCCATCCCATCCATCCCCATTCCTGATCCCACCCGGATCCATTCCCGATCCCATCTGATCCATCCCCATTCCTGATCCCACCCGGATCCATTCCCAATCCCATCCCATCCACTCCCATTCCCGATCCCACCCTGATCCATCCCTGGCTCCATTCCCAGCTCTCCATCCCACCCAGATCTATTCCCATTCCCGATCCCAATCCCATTATTCCCATTATTCCCATCCCCGTTCCCATCCTCATTCCAATCCCCATTCCCATTCCCACCATTCCCGTCATTCCCATTATTCCCATCATTTATTCCTATTATTCCCATTATTCCCACTCCCGTTCCCACCATTCCCAATCCCATTCCCGCTCCCATTCCCATTGTTCCCATTATTTCCTTTATTCCCGTTGTTATTCCCGTTGTTATTCCCATTGTTATTCCTGCCGTTATTCCCACTGTTATTCCCATTTTTCCCACTGTCATTACCGGCTGTTCCCATTGTTATTCCCGCTCCCATTCCCGCTGTTATTCCCGTTATTCCCACTGTTATTCCCGTTGTTATTCCCAATCCCATTCCCATTGTTCCCACTGCTATTCCTGGTTATTCCCGCTGTTATTCCCATTGTTATTCCTGCTGTCATTCCCGGTTATTCCCGCTCCCATTCCCATTCTTATTCCCGTTGTTATTCCCATTGCCGTTATTTCCATTCCCGCTGTTATTCCCAGTTGTTCCCGTTGTTATTCCCGGTTATTCCCGCTGTTATTCCCGCTGTTGTTATTCCCGTTGTTATTCTCATTCCCATTGTTATTCCTGTTCTTGTTATTCCCGTTGCTGTCGTTCCCGCTGTTGTTATTCCCAGTTATTCCCGCTGTTATTCCCATTCCCAGTTATTCCCGTTCCCAGTTATTCCTGCTGTTGCCGTTATTCCCGCTGTTGTTATTCCCATTGTTATTCCCGTAATTCCCATTGTTGTTATTCCCGTTGTTGTTATTCCCACTGTTCCCGTTGTTCCTGCTGTTGTTATTCCGGCTGTTCCCGTTATTCCGGCTGTTCCCGTTATTCCCATCCCGGCTGTTGTTATTCCGGCTGTTCCCGTTATTCCCATTGTCTCTCACTTGGCCAGGGCCATCCCGTGTTTGTCCAGCTCCAGGTTCAGCTCCGAGAGCAGAATTCCGGCTTCCACCTTCACCTGCAGCTTCTCCTTGTCCACCTGCAACAGACGATTCCCAAAAAAATCCCGGAACGTTCCCAAAAAACCCCCTCAAACCCTTCCCCAAATCCCGGAACATTCCCAAAAAATTCCCAAAAAAATTCCTAAAATATCCCGGAATATTCCTAAAATATTCCCCCAAAAAACCCCTCAAACCCTTCCCAAAATCCCAGAACATTCCTAAAAAATTCCCAAAAAATACCTAAAAAATCCTGGAATATTCCCAAAAAAATCCCCCCAAAAAAATCCCAAAAAACCCTTCCCCAAATCCTGGAATATTCCTAAAAAATTCCCCCAAAAAAATCCCCTCAAACCCTTCCCAAATTCCCAGAATATTCCCCAAAAAATTCCCAAAAAAGCCCTTGCCAAAATCCTGGAATATTCCCAAAAAAATTCCCCAAAAATTCCCAAAAAACCCCTTCCCAAAATCCCAGAACGTTCCAAAAAAAATTCCCAGAATATTCCCAAAAAACCCTTCCCAAAATCCCAGAACATTCCTAAAAAATGCCCCAAAAATTCCCAAAAAATTCCTAAAAAATCCCCCAAAAATTTCCAAAAACCCTTCCCAAAACCCCAGAATATTCCCAAAAAAATTCCCAAAAAATCCCTTCCCAAAATCCTGGAGTATTCAAAAAAAATTCCCAAAAAATCCTGGAATATTCCCCAAAAAAATCCCCAAAAATTCCAAAAAAGAACCCCCCCCTCAAACACTTCCCAAAATCCTGAAATATTCCCAAAGAATTCCCAAAAAACCCCTCAAACCCTTCCCAAAACCCTGGAATATTCCCCAAAAATTCCCCAAATCCTGGAATATTCCTAAAAAATTCCCAAAAAAATTCCCAAAGACCCCCTCAAACCCTTCCCAAAAATCCTGGAATATTCAAAAAAAGTTCCCAAAAAATTTCCCAAAAAACCCTTCCCAAAATCCCAAAATATTCCCAAAAAATTCCCCAATAAATTCCCTCAAACCCATCCCAAAACCCCAGAATTTTCCCAAAAAAAATTCCTAAAAAATTCCCAAGAAACCCTTCCCAAAATCCGAGAATATCCCTAAAAAATTCCCAAAAAATTCTCGAAAAACCCCTCAAACCCTTCCCCAAATCCCAGAATATTCCCAAAAAATCCCCAAAAATCCTGGAATATTAAAAAAAAAATCCCAAAAAATTCCCAAAAAAATCCCAAAAAAATTCCCAAAGACCCCCTCAAACCCTTCCCCAAAACCCCAGAATATTCCCAAAATTCCTCCCTCCTCCGCTCCGGGAGGGGGGAAAATTCCCGGGAAAACTCAGCTCGGGGATTTCTCCGTGTGGAGGAGCCGTTCCCGTGCGGATTCCCGGGATCTCCCGGGTGTTTTTTTTCCGGGAAGGCGGCGGTTCCCACCTGCAGGACGCGGTTGAGTTTTCCCATGTGGATGAGGAAATCCTGGGAACAGGCGATGTCCGAGGGGGAGTGACCCCCCCCCAGCACCTTCACCCGCTTCTGCCGCCGGCGCGCCAGATCCAGGATCTGCCGGGACGGGAAACAACACCGGGAATGGGAGCCGGGAAAATCCATCCCAAAAAACAGCGGGAATGGGCTGGGAAATCCATCCCCAAAAACTGGGAATGGACTGGGAAATCCATCCCCCAAAACTGGGAATGGGCTGGGAAATCCATCCCAGGATCTGCTGGAATGGAAAACAACACCGGGAATGGGAGCCGGGAAAATCCATCCCAAAAACTGGGAATGGGAGCCGGGAAAATCCATCCCAAAACTGGGAATGGGAGCCGGGAAAATCCATCCCAAAAAACACTGGGAATGGGCTGGGAAATCCATCCCCAAAAACTGGGAATGGGCTGGGAAATCCATCCCGGGAATCCTGGGAATGGGTACAGGAAATCCATCCCAGGATCTGCCGGGACAGAAAACAGCAGCGGGAATGGGAGCCGGGAAATCCATCCCCAAAAACTGGGAATGGGCTGGGAAATCCATCCCGGGAATCCTGGGAATGGGTACAGGAAATCCATCCCAGGATCTGCCGGGACAGAAAACAGCAGCGGGAATGGGAGCCGGGAAATCCATCCCCAAAAACTGGGAATGGGCTGGGAAATCCATCCCGGGAATCCTGGGAATGGGTACAGGAAATCCATCCCAGGATCTGCCGGGACAGAAAACAGCAGCGGGAATGGGAGCCGGGAAATCCATCCCCAAAAACTGGGAATGGGCTGGGAAATCCATCCCGGGAATCCTGGGAATGGGTACAGGAAATCCATCCCAGGATCTGCCGGGACAGAAAACAGCAGCGGGAATGGGAGCCGGGAAATCCATCCCCAAAAACTGGGAATGGGCTGGGAAATCCATCCCGGGAATCCTGGGAATGGGTACAGGAAATCCATCCCAGGATCTGCCGGGACAGAAAACAGCAGCGGGAATGGGAGCCGGGAAATCCATCCCCAAAAACTGGGAATGGGCTGGGAAATCCATCCCGGGAATCCTGGGAATGGGTACAGGAAATCCATCCCAGGATCTGCCGGGACAGAAAACAGCAGCGGGAATGGGAGCCGGGAAATCCATCCCCAAAAACTGGGAATGGGCTGGGAAATCCATCCCGGGAATCCTGGGAATGGGTACAGGAAATCCATCCCAGGATCTGCCGGGACAGAAAACAGCAGCGGGAATGGGAGCCGGGAAATCCATCCCCAAAAACTGGGAATGGGCTGGGAAATCCATCCCGGGAATCCTGGGAATGGGTACAGGAAATCCATCCCAGGATCTGCCGGGACAGAAAACAGCAGCGGGAATGGGAGCCGGGAAATCCATCCCCAAAAACTGGGAATGGGCTGGGAAATCCATCCCGGGAATCCTGGGAATGGGTACAGGAAATCCATCCCAGGATCTGCCGGGACAGAAAACAGCAGCGGGAATGGGAGCCGGGAAATCCATCCCCAAAAACTGGGAATGGGCTGGGAAATCCATCCCGGGAATCCTGGGAATGGGTACAGGAAATCCATCCCAGGATCTGCCGGGACAGAAAACAGCAGCGGGAATGGGAGCCGGGAAATCCATCCCCAAAAACTGGGAATGGGCTGGGAAATCCATCCCGGGAATCCTGGGAATGGGTACAGGAAATCCATCCCAGGATCTGCCGGGACAGAAAACAGCAGCGGGAATGGGAGCCGGGAAATCCATCCCCAAAAACTGGGAATGGGCTGGGAAATCCATCCCGGGAATCCTGGGAATGGGTACAGGAAATCCATCCCAGGATCTGCCGGGACAGAAAACAGCAGCGGGAATGGGAGCCGGGAAATCCATCCCCAAAAACTGGGAATGGGCTGGGAAATCCATCCCGGGAATCCTGGGAATGGGTACAGGAAATCCATCCCAGGATCTGCCGGGACAGAAAACAGCAGCGGGAATGGGAGCCGGGAAATCCATCCCCAAAAACTGGGAATGGGCTGGGAAATCCATCCCAGGAATCCCGGGAATGGGCACTGGGAAAATCCATCCCATTGTTTCTTTTCCATCCCAGAATTCCCGTCGCTGTTTCCCAGCCCTGGAATTCCCGTAGTTTGTTTTCCCATCCCAGAATTCCTGTTGCTGCTTCCCATCCCAGAATTCCCCTTGTTTTCCCATCCCAGAATTCCCCTTGTTTTCCCATCCCAGAATTCCC